TAGCTCAGATCTAAATCATAGTGCTCTGCATAGTCTCACTTTAACGTATTCTACTTTAGTAGGTTTTCTAATCTAAAGATGTTTACACAAAACAAAACAAAATAAATACCTGTCTGCCCTTCAAGGAAATTGTCGTTGAGAAAATGGTCAAAGAAAGGACTTATTACAGGAAAACGTCGACGGAACTTCTTCTTTTATAAATATCAATATGAACAATTGAAGCAGGATAAAGTAAGAATTACATTTTGTTAAATTTATATCAACTAAAGGCGCATATATGTTATAATTTAATGTGTACTCCCTGGTTTTGTTTATTTCTTCAAACCAAGTTATGAATGTAAAGACTTAATTCCAATATAAGACACAGGTCAAACAATATCTAATATCATTATGCCAATAATAATAGATATAATATTTGGTGATAATAATTATAATGTTACACTTTTGACGACTTGCATTTCACTTGCATTTATTAACAGGTATTGTACATGATTAAAACCGATGAAATGGTAAAAGACATGGACTTTCTGATGAATTAAAAACAAATTTACAAATGGCGCTAAATTCGTATACATTGCATACCGATATTTTTTCGTTACTTATCAGTACTCCTGTATACATTTTATATATTTTTTTAATTGAGGTTCGACTTCATATTAACCAAGAATCGATAAGTGAAATCTAATATAACTTGGCTAGTTTACGTAAGTAAAATGTTGTCACATAAACGTTTTCAAAAAATGATAAGAAGAATTTACTATATGTTTTTTTTATCATAATACAAAACAAAAGATGATTATAAATAAATATAACTAAACCATAGATGTGAAGGGTATACCCCATTAATTATTATTGATAATCACTTACATGTACCCGAATGTATATTTTTGTGTGTTTCTCATTGTTTTGTTGTTAGTGTTGCTACATACCCATAATCACATTTTCACAGTGACATCACACAGGTTTGACCTTTCGTTAATTTGTTGAACAAGAAACTTCCGGTTTGATTCAGGTTCAGTTTATCCGGCATCGTATTCCATCGCAAATTGACTGAAATGAATGTACAACATAGATAGAACTTTTGAGTTAAATGTTGCTTAGACTGCAATTAAACATGAAGTATCAATCATTGTTTGAGGCAAAACTTAATCGCTAAGCCATGATCGATTCCTATGTGACAAGCATTGTAACTTACCTTTATGCGATATCTATCTCGGAATAAATTTAATTCAACATTCCAACACGTTTACATTTTATGATCTATTTGATTTTATTTCTTAAATTTGATATTTTTTTATATTCTCCAAGTCTGAAACATATTCGTATGCGTTTTCTTTTCTTTCTTGTTTTTACCTTCAATGGATCAATATTGTTTTCATTGTATAATATATCTTTGCACTTAATAAATATAAGATCAAAAGCAACTTTGAATAGATTAAGCAATAAGTGTGTATTTAAACGTACTTAACGTTCATTGAACGCCGCATTTCCTTGATGATCTTGTTTATCATATTTTAAACTGACAGTAAATAAATTAACAAAAGAATTGTTTAGATGTTAAAAGATGTCAAATAAATACACAATAACGAAGATTAAATGTTTAGTACTTAAATGTTCTAAAAGAGAGCATGCATGTATGTTGAAATATTTTTTTAAAGGCCAGACACTGTAACTCATTCAATGTAATTGTAAATATAGGGTTTTGAATGAGTTTAATGCCTTATCATCTTTACAGGTTTTGTATGACGTAAATCTCACAAAAAAGTCACTGAACAATGAATGATATGTATGATCTGTTTTTAAATTTATGATAGTTTTTGTACTTATCCTATCTGAAACTCAATTTGGCGGACATTCAATTCAACCGTGTACTTAAAGTAAAAAAACAAATGCCATAACTGTAAGAAAATAATTCAAGAATAATGAATGAAATCATTTGTATTTTTGTATTTGTTGTGCTTGACCGTTAAACTGCGAAGTTTCACAGACATAAAAATAAGAGAACAAAAACATGACGTAAAAGATGTAAATTACAATTCCTTGTGCATGTTGTGGTAAATCGTTTATGAGAATAATGGCATTGTTTGGTAATATTGACCGGAGACTAATGTTCGGGAGCTTTTTCGTATTTTTTCATAGATCATTACAATTTTCCAATTGATTTTAAATGATAGTATAGTCCTGGATACTATAATTCATTATTTCAGTCCGATGGCCTTGTGGTTTGTATGATGGCATGGCAATCGCACAGTTGTAAGTTCGAGTCCTCAACAAACTATTTTCTTTTAGATTTCTACTCGTAAACAATATGTTGCATTAATGGATAAATTATTTGTTTAGGTTTTGTTGTTGTATTTACTGGGGTTGTCATAATTTCAATATGTTGAGTTGTAAAATGGAAGATTTGGATGCAAAACCCCATACCAGTCAAGCTTCGTAAAATAAAACACAAAGTATGTAAATGTAAAAATGATATTTCATTAAGATTCGAACCTACAAACTTCAATTCGAAACTGAATGTCTATACGCTAGTTAGTCAGTAAGCCATGTTTTGTTAAGAGCTTTAAGATATACATAAACCACGTTTTACTGTTATGCTATACTGTAAAATCCTTATGATTTACTTTGGAATCTGATAATTTCCGAGAAAAGGTCATTACATATTAAACCATTACCAAACAATATCTAAATGGTTATATCAGTTTTTAGTTTAAACACATTTTATTTAAAAAAAATATATATATACATCTTACAATTTTCAATATACAGACAGCAATTCAAATATTCTTAAAAAAAACAGGATCAGAATAAAAGACAACGTGTCTTTATAAAATGTTTCATTTAAGTGAGAAATTGACATATAATAGGCTCTTAAATAATTACATATTTTATAATCTGAACCGAATATAAAAAAAATCACGAGTTTAGTTTCGAAAAAAAAGAAAAGAATTTGATATGTTTTTAAATGCTTCAAGAAACACAGTATGAACATATTTAGAATGAATATATTATTGGATCGAATTAACATTTATATTAATATAAACATACAAAATAGAATAGTATTTGAATAGAACACAGAAAGGTGAAAAGGTAGTGATGAAGGAGAAAGATAAATAATGAAGTATTTAGTATTTATAGAAATATAGTGTTTAAGTGTTTGGGTGTTAAATGAATCTTTTTGTCTCTTGGATGTAAGTGTGTACTTGTGAACAAAAATATCGTCAGTTTGGTCAGAAAGGTCTGGATTGCCTAAAAGTAGAACATTTAAATCAATGCCAACATTATTCAAATTTCGAAGTAACTTTCATCAAGCTGTGTGAAATTGTGTACACTCGAAAAAGAAAGTTATTTTCTATTTGGCCACAAAGACATAAATTATAAAGGCGATTCAGTTATGTGTTTACAAATGGTAGTTTAGTTTGAAATATTGTATGAAGTATTTGAAGTTTTCTTTCACCAGAAAAACAGTAGGCGTGTGTCGTTTGTTTTTCTTAAAATTTGGTTTGAATGATGTGATAGTATGAAGGTTGCAGACATCGTGTGGAATATAATTCCATTCCCTTATTGCATGAAATAAACCTTTTAAAAATACATGTCCACAAACTTACACGGAAACAATTTATTTAACATTATTTAACCTGTATATGAAATATCAATATTGATTCAGTCTAACATTATTGAAGCTGTATATTGATTCAATCTCACAAATTTATATTAACATTGCAGACAAAAATTGAATTATGGAAACTACAACATTTCTGTAGTACATAACCATATTGAAGAATGGTAGACAATCGAGATTAAAGCTTGATAGGCAAGCAAGAGTTATTTTTCTTGTTTCCCCTACTTTCAAGAAATAACGTGTAAGAGTTATAACTGATTTTGTAATACAATTTTTCAAAAGCTTCGTGCACCGACTTTACAGCTCTGCGCACCGAGTTAAAGGCAGACATGTGAAAGCACATTGTTTATACTTTCAAAAAAAAAATACCAGAACAATAGGAAAATTTTGAGATTCTCGTTACAGCACATATTTAAAATTCAGTACACCGTGACATGATTCTGAGATCAATTAAACTGTTGATTTATCGGTACTCTACAATATACGTGTACTTACAGTCACTTTTCAATGAAAACGGAGAACAAATACGAATTAAATAAACATTTACAAAGTTGATCCTGTTAGTAAACAGATAAAATTTTATAACGGCTATGGGTTATAAAAATGATAACCTGTTTAAGTTACACCCCTGACTGTAATGCAGTCAATTGATTATATTCAGTTGCAGAAACCAGAAACCAATAATGCCGATACGTTACTCTTTTATACGTTTTTACACGTTTTGCTTTGTTGAAGAACACGATCTGGTCAATCGCAAATGATAACAATATTTAACTCTCATTCATCTTATTATTCATATTTAAAGTGTATCGTGATTATTATTGGGTTTATGAATAAAAATATAATTATGTCCCTTATGCTATTAGATATAAAACTGTGATATATGGTTTCGATAAGGAAAAAATTGCGGATAATAAATGACTACGATATTATTAAATTTTAAAGATGGACGCTTCGTTAAGCTGCAAATATGTGTATGCCCATGTACCGTTTCATTATAACTTAATATCAGTAGGTAGATGAATCTTCAAAAAAAGAAAATATTTGAAAACCATTGTATCCTAAATAATAAATTAGATTAATAATTTTAATGGTAAAAACTATGTCTTGATTGCATTTTATTGATAACGTTTCACGAAATATATTCTAAATCTATATTTTCCATCTAATTGCTTTTTATTCTGAACTTATTATTAAATTAATGCGAAAAATTCAAATGTTTACTTTTATCATCAGCATTTTGTTTACCGTTTCATTCGGAAAATCTTATATATCTGTATTCAGCACAATTTGATTTAATCTATTAATTGCAGATAGTGTTAACATGATAGCATTTCTTCTAACGTTTACTAAGGCAATCCAAAATACATTTTAGTGATGGTCGTAGTCTTAATTATAGTACGATGGAACGTTATAATCGTCATCCGACGATGAGTCGTCATAGTAGTAATTATCCCGATAGTATGTTTGTCTACTGAAAACTTCTCTTGATGGTGTCTTGCAATGTGGGCATTCGACGTGACAACGGAGCATGGATTTTGGAAGAAATATTTCAAAACACCTTTCTTTAATGTCTCTTGAAGATAGCAATGCTTGTTTTGGCAATGGCAACTGTTTCCATGGTATGGATTCATCAGTTTTCCGAGAGACTAATGTTTGGAATGGCGTACATTCGAATTTAAAATGTTCTCTGTAGTCTTTCCTATAATATCGATACATCGTCTGACTGCAAATGAAATATTTAATATGTTGACCATCGATATGTTCGAATGGAATTTCTTTTACCTGATATTTTTTGGAAAGACACGCGCCCTGCATTCGTGTAAATGTTATGCATCTATTATTATCGTAGATTACAAATCCATCTTTAATCTGAGCAATTTTATCGCTGTAGCTGGTCCTTTGACTTTTTCTTTCTAAATGTCCTTCAATAAGATCATACAGTGCCACAAATTCTCGTGACTGAAAGATGATTGCAATAGCATTGTCACTGATGGCAAATTTTAGTATTTTGTCGTCTTTGAAAGAAAATAGTGGTGACATGTCAACGTTGCTTTCACCAATATGCCCAATATACAGCGTTGAGGTAGTGATATTTTCAGACGTCATTCTTCCTCTATTCTCTATTTGAAATGCAAGTAACTGGTCGAGTGATGTTAGTCCCATCATAGACATTAATCCTAACTTGTGGTGGATATCACTTAAGCCTGAATTGGGATTTTGTTGTCTTTTAATTTGTTTGTTTACAGAAACAATACACACGTGCTCGTTAATTTTAACATTGTCTGACTCTTTAATGCGAAAACCCTCGTCTTCGCTCCCGGTTAAATTTATTTTTGTACATGCATCCTTCGGTATATCAAGCAGCACAAAACTCATCTCTTGGTAGCTTCTTTTTTTAATGGAACAAACTATTGATCCAGTGGTGTTCGTACATGTCCCAGACATTTCAACAATGCGATTTGATCTTTCTGCTTTCAATGAATTTGATTTAATTCGAAACTACTGATCTCTTTCCAAATCTAAACACCAGAATACATCATCCTCGTTGTAACCTCCTTTCATAATGAGAACACGGTGATCATTCAATGCAGCAGTTGTCAAATGTTCTGATGGTAAATGACAAGCAACATCAGGATTATGTAAACAGACTTGCAAACACTGATTGGAAATTGAATGAAAATCTATAGTCGTTAGTAATTCCTTTATATGAGCCTTCCTAGTATTAGGATTTGCTTCTAACCATTTAAGTAAAAACAGTAGCCTGTCGTCCATTTGTACGTACGATAGCCTTTTATTCGAAAACAGCAAGTGAATGAAATCTTTCGTCAGGTTTACCATTTGCGGCTGAAGAAACATTTCTGGCAGGTGCTCTTCAATGTATTTTGTGCATCTCGGAATTTCAAAATCGTAAATGCTTGACAGCTGTAGGAATTTCATGCAGTTTTCTCTAGTAATAGAAACAGTTTTCAACCAGCTTATACAGGCAGACTTTAAGTTTGGAATGAGAAGAAACTCAGCCATGTGAAGGATATTTTCGATATTTTCATCATTCAATTTGGGCTTCTTTCCATACAGGAACATGATAGATGTCTCAAGTGTTACAGATGTTCCTCTTGTGATTTCAATTATACCTATAAACCAAATTAAAATAAATATTATTGTAACAAAACTTTTAACAATATGAATCTAGCTAGGTTCTACCTCAAAGTGCTCTGCAAAGTCTCAGTTTAACGTATTTTACATATATTAATGTTCTACTTCATGTAAATATGTGTTTTGTTTCTAATATTGTTTTAACTCCTTATGTTTTAAATCTATCATTTCTGTATAATTTTGAGTGCACAACAAAATAACTACCTGTCTGCCCTTCAGGGAAATTGCCGTTGAAAACATGGGCGAAGAAAGGGCTTATAACAAGGACACATCGATGGAACTTCTTTTCCTGTGTAAAATCAATATGAACAATTGGCAGGGTAAATTAAGAATAATATTTTGATAAATTAATATCAATAAATGACCGCATATAAAAAAATAATATTTTTTATTCAATTTGTGGTCCCTAGTTTTGAATATTGCTTCTAAGTGAATGTAAAGACTTAATTCAAATATAAGGCATGCGTCAAATTATATCAAATATCAAGTGTTCATTATGCCATTTGTCATCAATATAATTTGTTGCTAATTGTTGTAATGGTATACATTTGACGTCTTGCATTTAACATAAACAGGTAGAGTGTAACTTCTGAATTCCGGAACTTCTAAAATCCCGATACTTCTGAAATCCGAACATTTTTCAGGGTCCCGAAATTTCTGCTTCTGTTTTCTATGTAATCAAAACCTCTGAATTACGGAACTTCTCAATTCTGAATTCCGAAAGATTTTCTGGTAAAATTTGGGTAATATCAATTAAAACTAACTTCCGAAATCCGGAAATTAAGAAAGGATACTTGTAATTTAGAAACCTTCAAAATGTCAGTATCATCCAATTAACAGTACCCATCTATCTCGACACATATTAGAATTACAACCAGTCAAGCATATCAACCACTTGTTAAAAGTGTGAAAATTAAGCAATTGAGAAAAATACTGTTATGAAATGAAAAAGTACAGGTAAATAGCAGGTACTACATGTATATGAAATATACTAAAGGATAGATTGTGATGTATAATTTATTAACATTATGCTTTTGTATTAGCAAATTCAATTTTAGGTGATAATGAAATTTAAAATAGTAAAAGTCCTATAATTTTACTACTTTTTTAATTTTATCAGCTTCATATAATTTTCATCATGTCTTACTATAAAACAGTTGATGTTTAATAATTGTACTTTGTTCAGAAAATTCCAAACTTCGGAATTCCGGAAACTTCATAATTCCGAACGTTTTGGCTAGTCCCACAGGTGTTCGGTTTTCAGAAGTAACACTGCATTGTACGATGATTAAAACCGGTCAAATGGTTAAAGACATGAACTTGTTAATGAATTAAAAACAAATTAACAAATGGCGCTAAATTCTCGTATATTTTGCATACCGATCATTTTTGTAACTTATCAGTAAGCTTGTATACATTTTATAAATTTTATTTAATTGATGATCGACTTTATAGAAAACCAATAATCAATTAGCGGAATCTAATATAACTTGGTAAGTTTACGTAAATAAAAAGTTGTCACACGTTTTCAAAAAATGATAAAAAGAATTTACGATATCGACACCATGTTTTTTGTTTGTTTGTTTTTAATTATGATACAAAAGAAAAGATAATTATAACTAAACCATGGATGTGAGGGATATACTCCGTTCATTATTTTAGATAATCTTCCCCCATTTATTATTTTAGATAATCACTTACATGTACCCGCATGTTTATTTTTGTGTGTTTGTCTTTGTTTTGTTGTAAGTGTTGTTACATACCCATAATCCCTTTTTCACAGTGACATCACACAGATTGGACTGTTCGGTCACCTGTTGAATGAGAAACTTCCGGTTTGATTCAGGTTTAGTTTTTCTGGCATCGTATTCCATTGCAAATTGACTGAAATGAATATAAAACAAACATAGAACATTTGAATAACATGTTACTTATACAAAGTATAAATCATTGTATTGGAGGCACAAAACTTAATCACTAAGCCATCGAATCCTATGTTACTAGCACTGTAAACTAACCTTTATGCGATATTTATCTCGGGATAATTTTAAAGAAACATTCCAATAAGTTTCTTACATAAATAAGAAATATTTTTTTCGGGGATGTGAAACATTTTAAATCTTATTTCATTCATTGTTATGATTGATTGTTAATCCAAAATCAGTATAAATGTAAATGTTCACTTTAAATTTCTTTATACCTTTATAATCCTTATGTAAGGAAGTAAATGTGCACAAGTGTTAAGTATCGTTTAAGAAAAATACAGTCACATTAAACGTCTCATTTATCATTTCTTATCAGGTGAAATATTAAATTGAGAACGAAGTTAAGAGAAGCAATACAAAGAATGCAAATATGTTATCATGTAAAACATATTGATTAAAACTCTTATCTTCAGATTTAAATATAGAAGAGAGAAGAGAAGAAGAAATAGTTTATTTCGGTAACTTATACATTTACAGTATCTCGTTACATACAATAATTACAAATATAATAATTCTGTGGTCACATGACAAAAGCAAAGAAAAAAATAATAAGAAGAATATAAAAAGTTTTAACTGATGACATTCTAACGGAGAACAGACAGCTGCAAATAAAGGAACAAAAAACATCACAATTTCATTATCATTCATAGATTTAAAAAAGTTCCAGTAAGAAGAAAAACACCAACAACAGAAAAGACGTGACAATAACAGTGTCAAAAGTATAATATTACATGTATCTTTCTAACGATAATAAGGATAAAAAGTTGAACCAATTAACATTTCAAAATGTGTTATGAATTAACAACGGATAGTAACAATTCTTGTCGCTTTTTATTAGCTACATCTATATATTTTCCTAAATTTACAAGTATAGCTTTATTATCTGATTGTAGTAAATCTACTAATTTATACATAGAAGGTCTAATATAGTAATAACGCTTGATAAATCTTCTTCGAATATCTTGATAACATGGACAAACTAAAATAAAATGATACTCATCTTCAATTTCTGGTAAGTTACATAATTGGCATAATCTTTCATTTCTTTGAGTTCTATTACGTCCGTATCTACCGGTTTCAATCCTTAAGGTATGAGCAGATATTCTAATTCTACAAATATTCATACGTATACCTTTACAATAAATATTTCTTAAATAAGGTTCAAAACAAAAGTCTTTTTTGATATAACTATACAAAGTGTTTAGTACAATATTGTTTTCTATGTCTGAATGCCTTTTTTGCCTAAAACAATCAATAACTCTTTGCTTAAATTCAGATAAAAAGAAACTACTTTTGATATTTATTGGGTTGTCCCACACATAAGAAAAGCCAAACTCATTTAATAAGGATTTTACATTTTGAACCCAATTATTTACACCAGTCAAACTATTGCTTACTGTATATCTATAAATTTCTTTCAGTATAATATTATCCGTATTGACAAGCTTAAGCCAAAATTTAATGATTTGTACGTATCTGTTGATATGTAAGGGGTATCTACCTAATTCGCCATACACTGCATTATTACTAGCACATTGTTTTACTCCTAATATTGATTTGCAAAACTTAAGGTGTACCCTTTCTATATCTTTAGATTTAGTAAAACCCCAAACAGGACATGCATAATTAAGTATTGAGCCAACAAAGGCATCAAATAATTGTAGTGAAACACGAGGATTTAAATGAAATTTGTTTATCTTATTCAATAAAATGCTCATAGCTTTTAAACCTTTCCCTACTATGCACTGCGTATTTAAAACAAAAGAACCTGTATAATTAAAAACAACCCCTAGATAATTAAAATCGTTAACAACTTCAATATGTTTACCATTATAATACCATTTTTCACTTAATTTTACCTGTCCCCTTTTACGGAAAACAACAATTTTGGTTTTATCCGTATTGACCTCAAGTCCCCATTTACTGCAATAATCATACAAGGTATTTAGCGATTTTTGTAAGTCTTCTTGTGATCTGCCAACTATCACCATATCATCGGCAAATAATAAAACAATAATACATAATTCATAAATATTGAGACCACAATCCATTCGGTTTTGTAAAAATAATTCAAGATCCTCTAAAAATAATGCGAAAAGTGCCGGAGAATTATTTTGTCCCTGCCTTAAACCTATCGATATATTGAAGAAGTCAGAAAATGTATTACAATGTTTTACACAAGATTTTACAACTGAATACATAGCTTTAAATATATTTAAAATTTTACCATCCAAGCCCATCTTAAATAATTTATACCATAGCGCGTTTCTATACACAGAGTCAAACGCTTTTTTAAGATCGACAAAAGCGCACGGAAATCTTTTATTTTCAGATAACATATGTTGTACTAAATTATGTAAAACAAAAATTGCATCCACAGTGCTGAGCCCTTTTCTAAAACCGAACTGGGCGTCTGATAACATATTATTATCATCAAACCATTTTTCTACCCTTGAAGTTAAAATACTAGTAAATAATTTACCAAAATTGCTGATTAATGTTATACCCCTGTAATTATTTACATTTCTATTATCCCCCTTTTTATGCAAAGGTACAATAAAACCTTGCGTCCACAATTCTGGAAAATAACCTGCGTTAAAAACAATATTAAATAAATCTGTAATATGCCCTACCAAGATATCAATAGTTTCAATAAAATATTCATTAAGTAAATTGTCACTTGGCGATGCAGATTTGTTACGATTTAAATTGCGAACAGCAGCACGAACTTCATCACAGGTAATCGGCATGTTCAATTCACCAAAAGTATGGTTATTTGTATTAGTATTTCCGTCATCAATAAATGTTTCAACCTCGGGAGTGATTGTTGTTTTTATTTCATTAAACATTTCAAAAAAATACTTTTCAAATTCTTTAGCAGATATATCGCCCCCCGTACGTCTATTTTGTTGTTTAAAATATTGCCAAAATTCTCTTGGTTTACGGGTTTTTAAATTAGTTAATTCTTGCGACTTCTTTAAATGAAATGCTCTTTTCTTTTTTCTCAAAATCATTTTATACGTCTTTTTAGAATCACATAAAGATAATCTGTTTAAACATGACTTATCATTGTTAAAAATATACAACTTTTCTTTATATATGCGTTTCGCATCAGCGCATTCAGTATCGAACCAAGAGTTATCATACCTTTTTGCACTCTTACAATAAACATTTTTCTTAAAAAACAAATCAGCTGATTCACAAATCAAGTGAGAAAAATTTGATACTAAATCATTTACAGTACTTATTTCTTGAACATTATTTACATTCATGATACTATTAAATTCATTCATTTTTCCCAACAATGACCTTCTAAACAACATTTTATGATCGTCATTCC